CGCAGCCGGGTCCCCCGGGGAGGGGGGCTCGCGGGACCCCCGCGGCGGCCGCGCTTCCCCCCCCATCCGCCGCTCCCCCCCCGCCGCGCGCGCGGGGCCGGACGTGACTGGCCGTGTTCAATTTGTCACGCGGCCATTGGCTGGCGGGGGCGGGCGGCGTGTGACGTCAGCGCGCGGCGCGGCGCGGCCGGCGGCCATTTATAGGCGCGGAGCGGGCGCTGCGCATTCGGAGCTGAGCGAACGGCATCGAGAGCGCTCCGCGGTCGCATCGCCCCCCATCCCCGCCGGGAGAGCCCAGAAACCACCCAGGCCGCCGCGAGCCACCTTCCCCGGCCGCCGCTGAGCTTTTTTTGTTTCCGTTTGTCGCGCAGCGCCTGAGCGCCCCCCCCTTCCTCTCCCCACCTCCGCCCAGCTTTGTTCTTCTCACGGGCCCTGCGGGGAAGGCGCGGCCAAGATGGACCCTTGTCACACCGAGGAGACCGAGGGCGAGATCCCCGGCTTGGGTAAGGCCCGGCGGCGGCGGGGGGGGAGAGGGGCCGGGAGGGAAGGATTGGGGGGGAGGGAGGGGAAGCCGGTCTGTCCCGGAGGTGCCGCGGAGGCCCCGCGATGGCGGCGGGGCCGCTGAGGGGGCTCGGCCCGGCCGCGTGCGCAGCTCAACCCCCAGCGTGCGTCGTGCGGGCGGGGCCGGGCCGGGGGGGGCTCTCCGGGGTCGCTCTCCCGCCTCCGCCGCGCCCGCGGGTCCCTCCCCGCGCTGGGGGGGGTTGGGTTGGGGGGAATTCGTGTGCGGGGGGGATTGGGGGAGGTGAGATCGTAAACGAGATAAGCGCAAATTACAGTTTATTACAGGTCTAACGTCCAGTCTTAAGTAGCGTTAAAGCCGGTGGGAACGGCCACGCGATTAAGCAGAAGTTGAAAGTAAAGGTTTTTCTGGACGCCATAACAGTCTCGTCTTAAAATGGTGAACCCGTGCCAGTTATTGCAAAACAACCCAGCTCAGCGCCTGCTATCTGTTTACTGGGTGTCAGCCATTGACAACCGCTGAGCTCCCCCGCGGGGACAAACAGCTCATAGGCAGTAGGACTTTTAGATCTTTATTAAACAGTGGAGAATACACAGGAAAAACATTATCGAAGCGCCCCATATTTGTTCGTTTTAGCTATACAGAAAACTATCAAACTCACGCAAGTCAGACAAGGGAAAAAAACCCAAATGACATTTTATGTTTTGGTCTTGCTTTAAAATAAGCTATACAGGTAATTCATTTGGTTAAAGTTAATTCTTGAACACACTGATTGTTAAGTCTAAATCTGGAACTTCAGGGACTTGTTTGAATTAATTTTCATCTTCTTAAGAAGTCAGGAAAGACTTGACCTGTCAAAAACAAAAAAATATATATAATATTTGATGTATTAAAAGCTGAAATACCAGGCTTTTCCCTTTGTTTGGAAACAAATAGTTTGTTACTATACAGTTTCCAAGGATGTTTTGCCCTTACATTTTTAATTCGTGACCTGAAATGCTAGTGGCCTTTCAGAGGGGCAAGGTTAAAGGTGGCATGTCTGAGTGTAGTCTGTACAGAACTCTAAGCTGTTAATTGCTGGTTTCTGTGAGGATATAATAAGAAATACCTCCACAACTGAACATTGCACTCCCCTTCCTGGTTTATTTTGAGCTATTTAATGGGGGGGATTAGGTTTGGCTTGAAGGAGTCATTCTGCAGTAATCTCAAATTGATGACCCAGAACAAGATGGAGGAGGGTTTGGTAGAAGAGCACATCCCCATGCTTTTAAGGAGTTTTGGTTTTGGTTTTTTTTTTTGCCACAGCCTGGGCACACAACACACTGCTCCAGCATTTACTCCCTAAGGCTTGCCTTTCCTTGGAACTGGTAAACACCATTTTAACTCAAGTGACCTCTTTACTGCCACCTTGTTTCCTCAAATGGCTGTTTACTTTTCTTCCCAACTCTACTTGGAAGTCTCATTTCATGCATTTGGACCTCTTCAGGAAACTGAGCCCTGTGTATAACCTTTGTCAGATGTGTTGTGTGAGGGGGCAGAAAGATCTCGAAGGAGAATGATTTTACAAGCCTCAAACAAGCATTTCATCACAAATTTTAAGAATATAAATTGATAACTACAGAAGAAAAGCAGATACAGAGAAACAATATTTGCTACTTACCTTATCGATCAGGTACTCCTGTTTAATCTCATCATTTTTAAAATCTTCATTAACATCCAAAACTAGAATAGGAATCTCTTTAAGGTTCTCAAAATCAACTCTGTTAAATGGAAGAACATGGCATAAAGTATTGTGCATAAGACTCCAGCTCTTTAGTTGCTTTCCAAGGGTGCAGCATTAGTCAGATTACCACGTGCACCTGAGATGTTAATGCTGATGGCCATGACTTAAGTGTAAAGCCCAAGTCAAGTTTGTCCTTAATTGCTCTTGTGTAACCCAGTCAACATGGTATCACCACAACTTCCATAGACTTCACAAATCTGGGTTCTTAGTATCTATTTGTTATGTACAAGTGGAGGAAAAGATAGTTTGTTTTTTACTTTAGCTCTTTCTTTATCCCATTCTTTTTGTCACAGAATCAATCATCAGGAATTGATTCTGTAAGAGTGAGTACTTTTTTAAAGTATCACTTACCCTGAGTCTTCCCCCAGGTTATCCATTTACTAATATGCATTTTTAAAGCTTCCTTGCATGGGGATGGCCTCTTTAACAGATTATAAGACAGATATTTAAAATGTCTTAGAGATAAGCAAGACCATTTTGGCTTCAGTTTAAGAACAGATGGGAGCAGTAGTTGTGCAACTGGATGTGTTTTTCTCTTCAAGCAGTAGTTATTCTTTTAAGTGTGGAAATGTAATAAGTGTGCTAAACAACATTCTAACTTGTGCTTGCAGACTTCAAGTGATTCTGTGAAAAACACAGGAAATGCTTGCTTACAAGTTTGGAATGAGTACACAACATAGGCATTCCCAAAATTCCACACTTTGTGCTTCCTTCTGTCTCCAAAGCATTTGGGTAATCCTACATCAAACTTAGGAAGGTAGATGTGACTGATAATGTACTTTTCCTAGAATTGTAGTGCTTCTCAGTCAGTAGAGTATTTTGGGCTCCTTTAGGGGAAAACTTGAAGTCTGCTTTCACGTTTAGAGATCCCTCAGATGGGAAAGCTGGTAAGAATAAGGAAGTTGGTGTGCAGAGATCACTCAGTTGCTGATTGGATTTCTTGTGTGTAACAGTGTCTGCCAAAAGCTTTTCTGATTAAATATTAATCCTGGCTTCAAAATAAACTAAACTTTGTTGAAATATAGTCCTGCAAGTTTAAAGGTAGTTGGGACCTTGCCCCCCCATGCACTGGAACACAAAGCTGCTTAGTAAGTGACTTCTGTGATTGGCCATTGAACACTATTTTATCTGCCCTATTCCTGTGCCCTTCCAATTAGCAAAATCCATATCCTTGCTGGAGTTACAGCTATAAAGCTTCCTAGTTGGAGCTAATGCTTAACAAAGGTTTCAAATTAGATGAAGTTCCATCTTGGAAAACTGAGAAGTTGGTCTAAAAATAAATCCTTTCAAGTGTGCCTGAGTGAAGCTAGACTTAAACTTTGGTTTTATCAACTTTAGTATAAAGCTGGAAGAACCTTGCCTGCAAGTTGAAACTTGCTACAGAAAATGGGTTCCTACCTCATAGTCCTTTCATGGAGCCAGGTTTCGTGTTTATAGTGGAGGTTTTCCAAATACTCAAGCTCAATTCCTTGTTCCTCTTCTCTTCCCCTCATCTGTAGCCTTTCCATGCATTTCTGGAAAAAGAAGTATAAATGTGGTCATTAATCATGTGTTGTAGGTTAAATCAGCTCAAAGGATCAAGTGGTCCTTAACTCAGGAGGACTAATGCTGGACATTAGTGAGCATTAATTTTAAATGCTTGGCTGAACATAAACAAGTTAAGTCTGTAATAACTTTTTTTGTACCCTCTTAAGCCCCTGGAAAATGAAGTTGGAACTGAAAAACTTTCACCTTCAGTGAGCATACCTGGGGTGTGGTTCTGAGGTAGATCATGCCATCCAGTTCTATATCTGATTGAAACTGATTCAAGAGCCATGTGTGCCAGTCCTGATAGATAGACCACTCTGTTTCATTAATGTTCCCAGACTCAAACAAGTTAGAAGCAAATACATATCTGCAATGAAAGACATCAGTCTCATGCCAGGAATGACAAAAATGAACTACCAAAACACTTGTCACTAGAACAGAAATCATGGTACTGAAAAAATGTCTGCCCTTAATCAAACCTGCTCCCTGCAGGTATTATTTTAATATCAAGTGTTCTCCAGCTCTATGTCTTTAAAGACCTGGAGCTATTAATGTGAGTTCTTGCTGTGCTGTGAGAATAATTACCTGTCACTGTACACAGATCTCTCAAAAAATTGCACTGGATGTTCTGCTTCCTGTAGCTTTGCTGAGACTGGTTTTAACTGTGCTCTTACTCGGCTCAAGCAAGCATAAGTCTGAAAGGTGTAAGCCCATCTTGTGGGTTTGTCATACAGCATTTGAAGCAGATTTCCTCCGCTCTTCTGAGACGTTGAAAGTTCCTAGAAGGCAAGAGAAAAAAATTCAATACCAGCATATTTGCAGGATTTTTATTCCCTTTTCTCAATCTGGAATTCTGGTTTGTTAAAGTGAGAATTCATACACTTGTGTTTTTTGTGTGTAGGGTGTTTTTTTTGGTGTTTTTTTTTTTTGGTAAGGAAAATGCTTAGGCATAGGATGGAAGAGACTTTTTTGTCAGGTGATTGTAGTAGTCATAACTGCTTCTTTAAGTAGGTTGTTTGTCGAGTTCCACATTTTAGTGTGATTCTGTGGAGTAGGGATATGATTTGGAATATACATTCAGTAGTATCTTGCCTTAACATTTCTGAGTGCCTGACCACCTGGTATGATAGTGGGGACGACTCTGGCTACTGCAGACTAAGTACGGTTGGATTTTGGCATAGCTCCCTCATCACAAAATTCCTTGCAGTTTGGTTGTCCTGACCCACATCCCGCACACCTACCTGATACTCATCCTCGGTTGTCTGGACATTGCACCACTTGGCGATGGGCTCGGGAATGATCTCCCACTCATCGCTGTGCTTCTCCAGCAGGCTCACAAACGTTGACTTCCCTGCAGCTGCAGGAGATATGAGAAGTTCACTAGGGGTTGATCAGAGCGGTGGTAGGTGACGGGTACAGGGGCAGCGGTGAGGTTTGTGAGGGGCAGTCGGTGCGGCATTCGGGGCGCGGGGCTCCCGGGGCGAAAACAGCGCTAATCTGCGGCACCAGAAGGGCCGCGCCCGGGCCAGGCGGGCGATAAGACACCGAGCCGACATTTTAGGAGCTTTGGCGGCGGGCGGAGCTCGGCGCGGCCGGCGGGGGGAGCGCGGGAGCGGCCGCGCAGGCGCCGGGAATTGGCGCGGGCGGGAGCGAACGGGCAGCGCATCCCGGCGGAGCTCATCTCCACAGTCTCCCTGCGCCTCGGGGGCACCGACGGGCAGCCGGCCGTGGCGGTGGTTTCCCGACGTGGTCCCGACCCCGTTCTCCCTGCAGAGCCCCTCGCTGCCCGCAGAGCCGGGCGGACAATACCCGCATTGCCCTCTCCCCTCCTCCTCCGCCATCCCAGCTCCTCGGCGCGCTCCTGTGCTGACCCCCCGGCCGGTCCCTATCCCGCGCCGCCGAGCTCACCGATGTTCCCCTCGATGGAAACTTTCCTGAGGCGCTTCTGGAAGCTGGAGTCGAGGGAGCCGGCCGGGCTCTGGCAGTGCCGCTTGGCGGGGGCGGACATGGCTTTTCGGAGCGGGAGCCCAGGGGGTTCCCAGCAGCTCCCGCGCAGTTTTAAGTATCCCGCCCGCCGGTGGGCGGGATGGCCGCTCCCCGGGAAGAGGCGGAGGCGCTGCCCCCTCCCGCCGCCCCTTGTACCCCGCTCCTGCCGCCGCGGGATTCCGAAATGGGCGTTTGGCGGCTGAAATGGGGCAGGGCAGCTTTGTGCGGGAAGTGACTAACGCGGTTCCACTCACTGAGCATATTTGCATTAGTGCAAACGACTGCGCCGTGTGCTCGATTTACAGAAGTATCCTGAGTATGCGGGGTGTTTTTGTTTTGGTTTGTTTTTTTTCATTTTTCAAAAATCCTCCAGCTGCGGCAGTTCGGTAGTTGTTAGTGGTCCAGATTGGTGTTTTTAAAGTAAACACCTCAAGGACTTAGATGAGAGATGAGGCCGTGTAGGTTTGCAGTCCTTTTTGGTACTGACTGGAGAAGAAACACGCATGGATGAATGATGTTCATCTAGATGCAGCTCTGAGCAGCTTCTGGGCTCCAAATAACCTGTGTCAGGGGCTTTATGGAGCCTGCTCACCTCTGGGCACGGGTCCCCTACCCCCCCTGCGTGGGCAAGCTGAAACACGAGCTGCTTGTCCTTTCCAGTGGAAGGAGAGGGCATGGAGGATTCTTAGATGGTGAGTTACTCCTGTAACTCCTGCCTCTAACTACGAGATTCAGGGTGAAATCTAGCCAGGTCTGGTGTGTTTGGAGGAGACGGGAGGGAGTAAACTTTTCCTTTCTTTTATGATAATTGTGACCCATTGTCTCTTCTCTCCCCATCTCCTCCAAACACACCAGGCTTCAGTGACCGAAGCGAGCAGATTGTTTCACGTGGGGTAGCGTCAGCATTTGAAGCTGGTAAGTGCTAGTTCCCACACACCTCTCTGTGCAGCCAGAGCCGCCTCGCTGTCGGTGCGGGCCGAGTGTCGGCACCGGGACCGGCCCGGGCGGGCGGTGTGAGGGTGAGGGGGGGGGCTGAGGGCGTGCGGGGCATGCGCAGAGCGGCGCTCGGGGCACGCGGGGCCGGGGCTTTGTTCGGCGCGCGGGCGGGCGGGCGGCGCGTGCGCACAGGCGCGGACAGGCGGCGGCGCGCGCGGGGTGTCCCGGGGGCGGGGCCGGGCCCAGCGCGCACGCGCACGATCCGGCCACGCTGCAGCCGCTCCTCCCGAGAGCGTGACTGGCGCGGGGCTCGCGGCGCTCGGTGCCCTGTGCTCTGTGCCCGCTCCACGCACACACGTCGCTCTCCCCGAACCCGCCGCGGGCGCTGCGCCATCGCCGGGGGCCCGCGGGCCCGCCAGGGCGGCATCCGGGCCCGCGCTCTTTGTGCGGCGGAAGGCCCGGCCCAGCGGAAGCGGGAGCACCCGCCGCCATTTCCTAGCGCGCTCTCGCCACAGGCTCGCCCGCTCGCTGCCGCCTGACCGGGACTAGGCGCTCTCCGGACAGCGGATCAGGCTCGGAGCCCTAGAACCAGCGCGGAGCCCCACCATGTGTGCGTGCGGGGAAGGGGCAGGGCGCGGGCCGGGGGCGGGAGCGGCAGCGGCGCCGTGAGAGTGAGGCGGCAGCGCCCGAGGCAGAGGAGGCTCGGGGAGGGCCAGGGCACAGGCCAGGGGGGCCGCCGGGCGCTCTGAGGGGGTGCGGGTGGCGGCCGTGCTGAGCACGAGTCTCAAAGGGCCCGTTCTGGTCTTCTCCAGCAACCACAGAAGCCGAGACAGAGCAGAGCCTCACCCCCAATGTGATGCTCAACACGGAGAGCAGCGAGGGATACGTGGTGAAAGTCCGAGGGCTGCCTTGGTCCTGCTCCACCGAGGAGGTGCAGAGGTTCTTCTCTGGTAAGTGGGGCCGGGGAGGATGGGGGTGTCAGAGAGGGGCCGGGCTCTGTTGTCTGGATCCTGCATCCCTCCCGGGGACTCTGTGCCGGTGGGAACGCTGTGCCGGTGGGAACGCTGCAGGGAGCAGCAGCAGGAATCATTCAGGAGCCAGTGAAGTTTGTAATGCAACAAGTGCTTCAGGCAGGGCCTGGTATGCAAAGCCGTGCTTGTGTGAGCAGGAACTCCACACAAAGGGGCTTAGTCTGCACGTTGCTGGTATGGCCACAGTTGCCTTCGCTGCTTGAGCAACCAGGAAAGAGAAGCTTCCATTTTAAAGAAAACTTCAAAATTCTTGCTTGAGATTAAACTAAATCAGTTTAATTCTCTGTGTTGTCCTAACAGGCTCTCTTGTGTTCACTGTGTGTGTCCTTGCCCCGAATTAGTAGCATTCTGCAGTAATGAATTGTAGTGAGAAACACATGCTTTCTGCAGTGGCTGGAGATTTTAAAGCTGCTTCAGGAATTTGATGAATTGGACTTGGTTCTGATTTAGTTTATTGCACTTGCACTGATTGCTATTATTGCTTATTTGTTTTAAGCTGATGAGAAAGTTAAGATCAAAAGCAGATAGTGCATTTAACTTGAGGCAGAGAAGCTTTGAAAATGGATAGGTAATTTGTAGTTGCCAATCTGTAGGTTTGACTAGAAGAGTAACTTAATTTTAGTTAGTCCCTTTGGTCATTGTAAGGTTGTAACAAGAATACTGCTGGTTTTGTGATTTTGTCATCTTGATACAACTTGATAGTTGTTGCTACATTTTTCTTTTTAGAATATATGCAACTTGTAAAGTCACAGTGTTCCTGTTATAATTAAATTAATTTTGACCTTTCTGTTTCGTTTTCAGATTGCAAAATTCTGAATGGGGCTCTGGGTATCCGTTTCATCTACACCAGGGAGGGCAGGCCAAGTGGAGAAGCATTTGCTGAACTTGAATCAGAGGAGGATGTGAAATTGGCCCTGAAAAAAGACAGAGAAACAATGGGACACAGATATGTTGAAGGTTTGACTCAGTTGGTCTAGTAACTGACTTACATGTGTTTGTGCTTGATGGGTTTTTGGTTGATCATTTCTCTATCTGTTTAAAATGCATGTGGAAGGACAAATGGACTTGTATATCATAAGTTGACTAGTTTCAAGGCAAATGACTTTTAAAACCGTTGCTTTTTCCAGAATGCATTAATTCTAAGTGCCTTTTACAGTTTTCAAGTCAAACAACGTTGAAATGGATTGGGTTCTGAAGCATACTGGTCCCAACAGCCCTGATACAGCTAATGATGGTTTTGTACGTCTTAGAGGACTCCCATTTGGCTGTAGTAAAGAAGAAATTGTACAGTTTTTTTCAGGTATGTGGGATAAAAGTAGTAGCTATAGCACTATTGGTTTATGCTAAAAAAAACACCTGACAAACCAAAGAAACATGGATTGCCCTGTAGTCCTTCCAACAGTATTTATGGGTATTAAAACTAGATAAACCAATTTTTTATTGGCTTGAGGGATCCATTGGATCAATTCCTGAAGTACCTGATCATAATTCAGGGAATGCCAAAGAGCTACTTGAATATATACTTAGTGGGACATATTGTTCCACGTAAGCATTGCAGAAAACAAGTGTCTTGCCTTCCAAATTAAAGTGAACAATTCAGGTGAGAGGATATTTCCACCCCCAGTCTCTGCTGCTTTACCCTGTCAGTGAAGGATGTACAGCACCCTCACCTCCGGACACTGTGTGAGGAGCAGGATCTGAGAAAGGGCAGACATTGAGCCCATGGCTTCTTCCAAGCATAGATTTAGTACTGAATGAAATTCCAGAGAAAAACAACCTGTTGAACTCTACCCAAGTACAGATTTGCCCCCTTCTCTTTCTATGGGGAAAGAAAGAAACCCTTGATGTTACCTAGCTCAAAGTTTTTGTGGATGAAGAGATAATGTCTTATTTTGACTAATTTTTTACTTTTTTTGCAGCTACCGTATGTTTTAGAAACTGGAATTACAAACTATTAAAAATGCCTAAGAATAAAAGCTATTGATTTCTTTAGGATTTCATTTTGATAGTATTTTCAAAATAGTAGATTTCTAAATGTTTTGCTATAACAAGATATAATTGAACTTACTGTTTTGCTTTAAAATAAGTAGAAATATTTCCAATTTTACAACTTCAGGACTTGTTTTTTGTTTTCTGAATCGGTGATATGAACAATCAATTTCTAAGCATGTACGTTTTAAGCTGTTTTTTTCTTACTTGGTGAAGTAATTCAAGCTTTAAAAACTGTTAATGTGCTTAATATACAAAATGTGCCTCTTCTGTTCAGGAACTAATACTTTAAAATTACTTCATGATTTTTTTCTTAATTAAGCACTCCTAAAGATAAAAAAAATCAATGCTGAAACTTGATGTTTGCATAAGACTAATTATTTTATTTGAGTGACTTCTAGTAAAATTACTTGTTCTATATAAAGCTGTTTAATTTGCTGTGTTTGAATTTAAGTTCTCTTAAAAAGTTCGTCTTAAATACTTTCACAGAATTGAAGAGGTTTGTAATAATATGTGAGGTTCTTAATGCACCCTGCATTAGATGCCTTCTCTGAGGAGTTGTTCCTGACTCTCGGAGCATTTCTGTGCTCTGCAGGGTGGGTTAAGAACCTGAACTGAATGGTATGTGATCGTGGAGCTCTTTGTTGACGTGCCTTTTTTTCTTCTGGTGTTCTAGAATCAACATACCATTCACTTAAAAGTGTTTAAATTCTGGTGTTTTTAAAGCTATAAGAAAAAACTCATGACTGGGCTTGTGATGTTAATATTGCCCCCCTACTGGGGTTATTTGTCCTTGGGTTGAAGGGTTGGAAATCGTGCCAAATGGGATAACATTGCCGGTGGACTTCCAGGGGAGGAGTACGGGGGAGGCCTTCGTGCAGTTTGCTTCACAGGAAATAGCTGAAAAGGCTCTAAAGAAACACAAGGAAAGAATAGGGCACAGGTGGGGATGGATGGTTGGTTGGCTCTGTCACTTTTCTTATGGTAAACAATTAAATCCATATTCTCTCTTCTGAAAGTGTTAACATCCAAATCAAAACAGTGTTTTGGTCCCTAACTCAGTGATGAGTAAAGCCATTGATTGCTATGTCTGTGGCACAGACTGTTTGGATCTACCCAAAACATGCAAGATAAAATTGGGCTAAACTAAATTGTGCTTTGAAACCTGAGTAATAACAGGAGTGCAAAACTGATAGCTTGGAAGTGACAAAGTTGAGAGACTATGGCTTTAACTTCTCAAATAGCACCAATTCTGCCTTTAGCTCTAAAGACATGCACAGTACTCTTACTACCATAAGAAAATGTGATACTTTCTAAACTTGTTTTATAAGTTGAAATGTAACAAATTTACTTACTGTATTAATCTTCAATGTAATAAGCATAGCTTTCAAGAAATTGTCACAAAGGGTTTTTATTCTATTTTACTTGTGACTATTTTTCATTGAAGCATGCACCTTTTGCCTACGCTGAATCACTGAAGCATAGGCTGGGTTCACTAGTACATGCAGAGCTTTTTGTGGCATCCTGATGGGTTAAACTCTTGGTGGAGACCAGGTTTTTAACCCTCTGTTTCCATTGCCTCAAGCAAAATGGTGCTGAGTTGAGTGGACGCCTGTCCCTCCTACGTTTTTTGACTAACACCTTAAATTGGGGGGAGGTGGGTGGGGAATCAGTACTGCTCCCCCACCCTTAAGGCTGGGATACTGCCAAGTATGAGGAGCACATAAACCCTTCAGTAATTTTAATTTCTTGAAAATACACTGATTTGATTGTAATGTAGCATAAAATAGAATGTCATTGCCTACATAATGTAAGGAAACCTGGCTTAAAATTACCGCCAGTGT